AGGATGTATTATGCAATAAAGGTGCAATCCCCCATTACAACCAAATCCAAACATACAACACTTCGTGCATGTTTCTGTGTTACCACTGCCCATAATAACAGACATTATTCACAGACCCTTCTGTATGAAAGCCACTGGCTTTCCCTAAATTACACCGTATTTTCTTAAAACAGGGCGTAGGGTTTAACAGTTAAGTGGAGGGAAGGCCAGGAGCATGAATCAAATTATGCATGTACAACAGGAACACAATGGAGCAGGAAACAAAAGACTACATCACAGGCTTCTGATCTCCCCAAGACCTGCATGTCCTTGACACAACAGGACTGGCCTCGCTGCTCTGCAGTGCTGGCATTGTAAGGCAGTTTGCATGGGCATACTTGCCAATTCCTGCTTTCAAGCCAGGGTAAAGACACAGGCAAATCATCAACTAAAACAGTGTCTTGTTGATGTTTAAATACTAAGGAGGGAAGCAGACTAAGACTAAGACATTTTTCCAGAATGATTCCGCTGTATATTGTCTGGTGCACAAGGGGAAGAGTGGCTACAAAGGCAGGTTATGGGACTGGCTGCTTGGAAGCCAATTTATGGCTCTATGTAGGCAAATGGACATTGCAAAAGCCTTTGGACACTACCATTCTCTGGCAATGTCTGTGCAAGTTCCTATAGCCGCTGATAATACACTGGCAGAGGCAAACATCTCATAACCTGCTGTTGGCCCATCATTGTGATCTGTGACATTTTTGCTAAACACTGTAAAGGATAATCCATCACAAGGAAAAGAGTTATTTTATCCACCTGAGCCCCACGCTTTCAGCAGAACTGTACCCTGCTTTTGAGAGGATGATCCATACACTCTGAGAAAAGAAAATGAGGGAGCCCAAGATGGTCTTTGAGGGCTGCAGCACTACGAGACAGGTGAGGCTAATGACTTTCAGTAGCACTCAGCACTGTCAGGTCCAGCGCAGATTAAGGACAGAAGAACGTGCACAGCATCTAAATTCCAGCCTTCAACTTCACTTTGGAGTTAAAGCTGGCCATTGGCATGTCCATCTTGGAACAAATGCTTTAGTTGTGCATTGTAAAACTCTCCCAAAGCCAGTTAGCTTCTCAGCACCTCAGGGAAGGTTTGCTGCTTTGGTTGGCTGTTTATACTGCACCTATGAAACTGGGGTGCTTAACCTGTGACTGGAGCTCTTAGCTAATACTCTAGCCAAAAAAATAAAATCAATAGCAATCATAAAAACATGCCTATTTTACACAGCATAAGATTTGGTGGGAACCATGTTGCAAATGCGAGAGAAAAACAAGATATAAAAGGTTTGAGCTCCATAGAATGTCAAAAGCTTTAAATTAAAATAAAATTTTAAAAGGAGAAAGAGAAACAAGAAGAAAAAAAAAAGAAAAAGGCATACCTAAAATTTAAACTTTTCAAATGGAGTTAAACATCTGAAAGTTATCAGATTTCAGGTTGATCTTTCTTTTAAAACCTTAAGCTTACACATTTACAGAAGTCAAACCAGGAGAGGAGGCCCTGCGTTTCCAGCAGAAAGACTGTCACAGCTGCCTGACTCTCAAAAACATCCCACAGCCTCATCTAAGCTGGGACTAGGGAAACAGGTCTAGATGAAGGGCTGTGACTACATTAATCACAGGCTAGGGCAGTGGCAGGATATAAAGGCTAGTGGCACTGTCCCAGTCCAGGGGCATTACTGGCACAGCTCTGCCATAACTCTTTGGGTTACACATCCATATGAGAGGATTTATGTCCTTCAAGGACACCCCAGTTCCCTACAGCTCTTCAAGGAATCATTTGTTTATGTCAACAAAAGTTTTTAAGACTCTCAAAGTACTTCTGACACACATTACTACTGTAAATTGGGGGGAAATTGGCTTTAAAAGGATTAAGCTCACTTACAGCAGTGTGTTGAGTATGGATGCAAATGGTGTAACTCCAATACCTCCAGCCACGCAGAGGCTGACCTCATAGTTCAGGGATTCCTCAAAGGGACTTCCAAAAGGTCCATCCACATACAGTCTGCAGAAAGAGCAGAAACAACACTTTTAGAGAAAGCTGCCAAAATCAGAGAGAGGAAAAGCAAAACAAGCTGGAGTTAAAACCCTACAATGAATTTGTTTCAAATTTTTATTAGTCTTGGGATGCTCAATGTGAAAATCTTTTTCCTGGAAAGCTGTATGTGGACAGAAATGAATGTGCAGGTGGTATGAAAAAATATTATATAAAATCTTTTGGCATGTTCCATGATTAGACAAGCTGTTTTTCAAACAAGTGGAGGTGACTAAATTATAGCTGTCCTTTGTGTCTGGTATTAGAGGGCAAAGAAAGTGCTGCACTAGAAACAATAACAACTTGGTGAATCATACTCAGGAAGGAAAAGAATTTGGCTAGGCCTTCCTAGGAAGTTCATCTTCTACAGGTTTTCTGAAGAGGGAGAAAAATCATAGAGCTGTTCCCCTTTGACTCATGCCTCTCATTATTATAACCATTTTGTCCACTTGTTTCTAAAGGCTGCTTAGGAGACTGTGTCTCATTTCCAATCCATTTTTAATACTTTAGATACTGCTGGAAAGTCTGTTGACTATAATTTTAAAATGGGCTTTGGGTATTTTCTGAAGTTTGACCTCCAAATCTTTCCTACAACGCTGAAAATCTGAGCAAAGTCATCCACAGACAGCTTGAAATTTATGGGCTGTAAGATTTCTTATAAGATTCACATGCTCCCTGCTCTACCTATGGAACACAAGCTGCATATCTTACTTGAGTAATAGATTAACCTTTAGAAACTTCTATAAAGAGAACTTGAAGAGGACATTTACTTGAAGAGGCCCATTCTGTGTAAAAACTAAAGAGAACTTGAAGAGGACATTTACTCGAGGCCCATTCTGTGTAAAAATGACTCATTGGATCACCATGTTTTAGGCAACTGGTGAATAGAGTGAAGTGTAGTGGGACGAGTACTACATTCACCAGCTCCAAGACCAGTATTTGCCCACAGCTAAACTGACTGAGGTCACACTTTGGTCTGAGTCTACACAAAAGCTCCAGCATATACTAGTTTCATACGCTCATGTACTGATACTATTGCACAACTAATCTGTGCATATTCTACATCTAATAGAAGGGCATAAGCTTCTCCTTTATAATATCAGACAGAGAATTAAAGGTAGAAGAGACATCTTTTCCAAGACAAAGTCTTCCAAATCTCATTTGATTATTTTCTTTTGAGGGCTGGATTTTAGCCATAACTTAAGTCCTCAGTCTGATCTAATTTCTTTTAGCTTTGCGGTCTGACCCTTGGCATCATCTTACCCATCAAGACAACAACTTGTCCTGGTGTCTTTGGCCAATATGATCCCTTTTAGGATTTTTTTTCTAGACCTCTGCTACTGCTGATATCTTGATGTCTCATATGTTAGCCGCCTTCTTCTGGAGTGTCTTATCTGAGACAGATAAGTTCCTACTTTCTGATGGATCTGGAGACAAACAGGCCAATACTTAACTATGCATTGTCAGTCTTACAAACTCCTTTCTTTGTGTTCTATGTGGAGAGAAAGGGTGAAGACACTGGACCAGCCACAGCCATTATCACAAAGCATTAGAAATTTTGGCAGTAAATGTTTTTAAGTAAACAAATTTTATAACTAAGCAATCTGCAACCTAAACATTCTTATTTTTATTTCTGTCTTTATATTCTGAAGTTTCTACAGTATTCTACAATGTTCACTTGGAAAATTTCAAAGCTTTTCAATGTCAGATATGTTAGTTCCAGCATGATGAGAATATAAGAAAAACAAATTCACTCCTTACTTAGGACAGATAAATTCTTTTGCACAATGGGGCCAAGAAAAACTTAAATGGCCATGTGCATACAATATAAACAGAATTTTAAGTATCCACTTGTTAAATGTTTCCTGTTACGTAACACTTTATACCACATTTGCTTAGAAAGGGTTTACTTTCCACTAATGAAATTATACTACTGCTGGTGCAGAGTGCAGCAGCTGCTTTAAGAGAGACACTGCACTGTCATTTGACTGAGGAGGTAAAGGAGCATTTAAATAAGCAACAGGGGAAATGTTGAGAAGTAGGTCATTACACTGAAATAAATCTGGTTCAAGAGACATTCTGAAAGGAGACCACAAATGTTATAGGTCTCAGATGTATATGTAACAGATGTAACAGAGATCTACTTTTCCGATATCAGAGCATGTCAATAAGATAAAAACACAAACCAACTGGAAAACAAGGACCAAGCACACTGTCATTCCTAGCATACCTCTTATACATGTTACCCTAATCAGATCCTGCCTAGCTGGTGCAATCTAGAGATACCTAAAGGTATGAAGGGCTAGCACAGGCCTGAGGGAAATTCTTTGCATTTTGGACAAGTAGCACTAACTTTCATTTAGACAAACAAATTTAAATCCAACATTTTGAGGAAAAAACACAAGCAAACAAAACAAAAACGAACTAGCAAAGCACACTTTTCTAGAAATTACCACAGTGGATGGGATCATAGGCATGTATACTGTAGGGGTGCCACTTAGCATAACTATGCTACTTGAGGACTCCCTGAAGGAGGAATTAAGCAATTCTTGGAAAGTCTGAGCATCACTGAATACCACCGACATGATCAGCAGCTGAAACATGCAAAACTAGATCTGGTCACCAGAAAACAGTCAAGCACAGTGCATGCCAGATATTCGAGAAACAACCTGCAATTAACTATGTATTTTGGTCACTTGCTCCAGTTTGTGGTCCATTAGACCCATCTGGCCTGCAAAATATTGCTATTTGCCCACTGTGTCTTCCTCCGAGGGAGTCAGGAGCAGTTGCTTGGACAGCAAATGCAGTCAGAAAAGCCAAGAGCCTCCTGCTGTCTCTGCATGTGGTCCAGCACGGAACAGCCACAAGTCACTGCTTCCAAGTGTGAGAAAGAGGAATGGGGAAAAAGCTGGAGAAATATTGCCACTGCGTTAGCCCACTCCACAAGACTGCCTGAAACGACTGATTCCAAGGATAACATGATCTCCCTGGAAGATTTTGTTGGATGTCATAAACATGCACTATTTAATCCCATTTTACTATGGGGCTAATTTAAAACTAAGATAAATGTGGCCTTGATGCCTTAATGGAAGTGATCATTTAGGAACTAATCCTTCTCTCATTCAAGTCAGTGGAAGGAAGAAGGCCCCTGATGCCATACCAAACAGTACAGGGTGGAACAGAGCAGCGATTCAGTCATGGACTTCTGCAGAGATTATGCAATTTTTGTTTCCTGTCAACATGTTCCTCCTTTCATTTGGTAGGACTGAAAAGTTTTTGCATAAAAGCAGTTCATTATTGCAAATGAAATCTCACAGCACTCAATAAAAAGACAGACAAGCCAAAGGGGGGGTAAGATGACTTTTAGTTTCTTGAGTTGTGCCCCAGATATATCACACTACCATGCTATGATTGTCTATCCCCCCAGCTTTAATTTAATTAATATGAAGAAAGGCAATGGAATTTTACTAAGAGTGTAGAAATTACCCCTTCAGGCAAACTTACTCAAATAACAAGTTGTTCTTATCCCATGTATTCATTCCCAGTCTTAGGAGTGCTCTCACTTATTCTGGCACAATTTCTTAGCTCAGAAACAGAAAAAAAACCCTCTTAAAAACAGAATACATCACAAAAGATAGCAGAGCACATTATTAAAAAGCATCTTACAGATAGATGGTCAACATATTTTCTATTTAAAGCACACTTCCACTCTACGGTACTGTGGTACCAAAATAGACCAGCAAGCACTAAAACAGCTTGTTCCAGTGCTGGGGGCAATGCAACTGCACTAAACATGGTGCTGTCCCTAAACCAAGGGACACTGTCTCAGGGACACAGGCAGCTGTACTGCTTTTCAGACCCAAATTATTATCTTCTATCAGGAATTGCATACTGATGTGTGATGACCTGCTCACGTCTCTTGAACTTGGACCTCAGTGCCATGCTTTACTTCAGGGCATAGGTACCCTTAGAAAAGTTTAATGCTTACATTGCAATTCACTACCCAACAGTAAAAGATGATATCACTTTTTTTTTAACAGGCTCTCTGGGAGATACTGTAAGAAATTATCTGGGATATTAGTGGAATAACAGATGGATAGGGGAATTAATTCAAGAGCTTGCAGGAAATGCTAATTAAAGATGTATCATAATTTGCAAGCTGAACAAAATGCTTGGATACAAAGTACTGCATAGAGCACAAAAAGTCAAGTCCTAGTCTCACTGAAGTTTGCAGAAAAGCTCTTACCAATGTCAACAGAGGAAGGATTTCACCCAGTAGCATGAGATTTTATATCCTTGGTATTCAGTTCTTGCTAGGATCCATGTGTAGTTATGTTTGTGTGAGAATATTAAGTTCCTGATACATTCATATGAGACACAGTAAATACAGTTAATGGAGCCTAGAGAGAGATTCAGAATGTGATAAACTGCTCTCTGTGTCTACTGACTGTACTGACTCAATTCAACAGGACCTTAGAGATCCCTGTCCCTCTGGAATGGCAGCTGAAGGTCACCCAGAACTGAAGAGGCACCAAACAACTAGCCTGAGGCACATGAATCCAGATTTAGATATCCACTGAGATCACTTGCAGCTTTGCTACCTAGCTTACACACGGATGCCTACATTTAGTTGTCTTCAGCTGGAGCTGAACCCCTCCCCTGATTCATTTTGAAAAAGTCACAGCACTGACTTAATAGGTTTTAGATAAAGTTATCCAAAATCACAATAAAATCAACTCAACAACCCTCTTCCCGTGCTTGTTCTTCTGTTATAATTGTCCTACCAAAACCACAACTCAATACTGATGGATATAGCATGAGAAGCCCAAGGAACTGACTGCCTGATGGCTAAAGCAATTTCCTTGTATTCTTCTACTGCTGCAACTCTGATGCACCAGAGAGATGTAATTACCCCTCTCTGATAACCCACAATACCAGCCTCCACCCCCACATGATAAATATTCAAACAA